TTATATCAAGTTTAGAATGATATATGTAATTTAGAATTTAGGGTTTGGATTATAAGGTTGAGTTGAAGGTATGCATAAGGTTTAATTTATAATATAATGTTTTTAAGAATATAAGTGTCAATTTAAAATTTGAGGTTAACAATAAAAATTTAAGGATTTAGATTATAAATGTAGTGTTTAATTTGGAGTTTAGAGTTTAAAATGTATAAATAGTTTTAAATTGTTTGAAAATCAAAAATAAAATTTCTGACCGCATAAATCCGTCGGAAATTTTTAACGGTACAGACCCGTCAGAAATTTCCAACGGCATAGATCCGTCAGAAATTTCCAACGGTATAGGCCCGTCAGAAATTTCCAACCGCATCGATCCGTTGGAAAATTTTGACGAAATTTTGACGGTGTGGTATTTCGTAAATCGGGTAGAAATTTCTGACGAGTTAACATTCCGTTGAAAAACTGTTAGAAATTTCTGACGGAATATAAAACGGTTAGAAATTTTTGACGATATTATATTTTGTTAGAAAGTCGTCAGAAATTTCTGACGGAATTAAATCGATCAGAAAAGCGTCAGTTATTTCCAACGGAAAAAAGACGGTCAGAAAAATTCGTCAGAATTCTCCCTTTTTCTTGTAGTGTATGTCTTTCGGCCTTGTATTTGGACGTGGTATACCAAGAGACTATCCAACTCAGCAACATTTTGACACGTAGGGCCCTCTTTGCTTTACTCCTTTAGTCACGTTTTTTAAGAAGACTTAATCTCTCTCTCTTTTTTTCCTCCTGTTCTCTGTTATGAAAACACTCTCTTTTTTTTTTCCTCCTGTTCTCTGTTATGAAAACACTCTCTCTTTTTTTGCTAAATCAGGCATTCGCCTACACGGCAAATTCAGCCTAAATAAAACAATTTTCTTATTGGATGCTACATTGTATACGCTATATCAACTGCGTTGCATTAAGTGTATTGTGTCAAATTGTTACGAGTGTTACATTATGCTATTGAGCTCTTAGAGCATCTCCAAAAATAAACTTTGTTTTGAAGTTTCACAAACTCTATATTTAAAGTTTCAAACTATTATTCTCCAAAAGAAGAACTTCAAAACTAACTTCAAAATTATTTGTATATTATATTATGGTCCTTATATTTGTCACAATTAATGAAAATCCATAAAACTTTCTTAAATAGCAAACACATATATAAAAATATTACAACAATATTAATTGATAAAAGTTTATATGAAAATATAAAACTAGAAATATAAATATATAATTAAATATTAAGAATTATGAGATGATTGAATTACGAATGAAAAATGAAAGCAAGAAAGTTAGCTTTAAAAGAAAGTACAACAAGCAGGGATAAAAATCATGAGATGATTAAATTACGAATGAAAATGAAATAAGAAAGTTAGCTTTAAAAGAAGTAAAAGAAGAAAATAAAATATTACTAAAAAACTTAGCTTCTATCGGTGATATTAATACTCGTGAGTACATTCGTTCTAAACAAGTAAGAATCATACGTAAAAGATGTCAAGAACAACAAGAACAACCATCTTCGGTTACAAAAAACTTGTTTGGATTTGAAGATTTTGGAGCTTCCGGGGGAGATTTACCAGATTATTAGTGTTGTTGTAATATTTAAATTTCTATAATAATTATGTTCTTATGTACCTTTCTAAAAAAATAATTTTAATTAAGTTTGTTTTATACTATTCTTGTTGTATACTTCTACTTTTAAAATAATATAAATTTTATTTTAATTTTTTTTATTTAATCTTCTGTGTAAAACTTAATTTATAGAAATAAATTTGAAGATTCGTGAGATATAATATTTTTAAAAGATTAAAATGATAAATAATAAAATATTTAAGAATCATAAATAAGATATGTAAATATAAGAAATTACAGATAAAAAGATGAAACTTCAAATTTGAAGTTTTGAAAAGTGAAACTTCAAATATGAAGTTATGAAGTTTCTTTTTGCAGAGCAGAAAACTCTATTTTTGAAAATTATAGAGTCTTTTGAAGATGCTCTTAGGCCTAAGAGCATCTCCAAAATGGAACTCTATTTTGAAGTTTCAAACTATTCTTCTCCAAAAGAAAAACTTCAAAACTAACTTCAAAATTATTTGTATATTACATTATGGTCCTTATATTTGTCACAATTAATGAAAATCCATAAAACTTTGAAAAATAGCAAACACATATATAAAAATATTACAACAATGTTAATTGGTAAAAGTTTACATGAAAATATAAAACTAGAAATAGAAATATATAATTAAATATTAAAAAGTATGAGATGATTGAATTACAAATGAAAAATGAAAGCAAGAAAGTTAGCTTTAAAAGAAAGTGCAACAAGCAGGGATAAAAATCATGAGATGACTGAATTACGAATGAAAAATGAAGCAAGAAAGTTAGCTTTAAAAAAGTAAAAAAGGAAAATAAAATATTGCTAAAAACCTTAGCTTCTATCGGTGATATTAATACTCGTGAGTACATACGTTCTGAATAAGAAAGAATCATACGTAAAAGACGTCAAGAACAACAAGAACAACCATTTTCGGTTACAAAAAACTTGTTTGGATTTGAAGATTTTGAAGCTTCTGGGGAAGATTTACCAGATTATTAGTGTTGTTGTAATATTTAAACTTCTATAATAATTATGTTTTCATGTACCTTTTTAAAAGAATAATTTTAATTAAGTTTGTTTTGTAATATTCTTGTTGTCTACTTCTACTTTTAAAATAATATAAATTTTATTTTAATTTTTTAATTAATCTTATGTGTAAAACTTAATTTATAGAAATAAATTTGAAGATTTGTGAGATATAATGTTTTTTAAAGATTAAAATGATAAATAAGAAAATATTTAAAAATTATAAATAAGATATGTAAATATAAGGACCAAATTACAAATAAAAAGATAAAACTTCAAATTTGAAGTTTTGAATGAAATTTCTTTTTGGAGAGCAAAAAAACTCTATATTTGAAGTTATAGAGAGTCTTTTAGATATGCTCTAAGTCCACAAATTTGATGTGCACTTAATTTTTAGAATGCTGAATACTCTCATATATCTTGTATTCATGTAATCCTGAAATAATTCAACCACCTCCAGTAATAAGATCCAGTGTTTACATTGTGTATTTTATACTAATTGATACAATTTTTTTTGCTTAATATAAACGTATACGTTAAACATGAACGCATAAATTACATTCAAACAGTTAAACCGTAAACCTTGAGATTAAAAATTAGTTGTGTGTTCTTTTTTCATTCTTAAACTTGTTATAATCAGCGAGCAAGCTCTCAATAACCTTATGCTTCATATTATCCACCAAACCATTTAAAACCTGTAGAAAGCAAAATAAAGATATAAGAAACTATATAACTTGGAATATAGAGCTTTGAATTCGCAAATTCATTTATTGCTAACCGCATTGGCAACGTTTCTCCTAACATCCTCTGGTACAAGCATGAGAACCGAAGGAATCACGAAGCTTATGTTCATCTCTAGTCGACCTTTGAGCCTTGTGTACCTTCCACCTCGGTCTGGGTACAATGCTCCGTGAACTCCAAGAGTGAAATCAGACGGTTCCATGACTCGGTCAAGCCCTTGAAGCTCCCATTTCATCTGAAAATAAACCGTTCAAAGGGAACAAAAGAGTCGGAAGGTGGCTTATATATGAACAACAAAAAAAGGGAACAAAAGATTGAGGTATTTATACACGTATCTGTTTAGTACTTCCTCCGTTCAACAACTTGGGAGTTCTAGATTTTTTCACAAAATTTAAGAATAAATTTACAATTCCAAAATAACTTTTGTACTAGCATAATTTCAAAAAAGGAACAATTTATTTCATGAGTATTGTCTTAACTAATATGATGAACAAAAAAGGTGAACGATTTAAATATAGTTTACATTAAATACATAAAAAAAAAACTTATTTATTGAACCCAAATAAAAATCTCAAAACTTGTATTTTTGTGGAAGGGAAAGAGTACCATGTTAAGCTCAAGGACCTTGGTTATGTCTAGAGGTACATCAGGTGGGTAATCCTGACCGTTGGATTTGCATCGAATCCGCATGTCCACCACCGGCCACGCAGTGAGGAAGAGAAATTTTATTGGCAACATTTGGATTCTCCATTCTTCCTGCACAAGTAAATCATGTCGTTCTTTTCGTTAGAGTAACCGACGAAATGCAAAATTCCATTTACATTAACGGAACAAGGTATATTACCTCGTTAAGCCTATAGCTTTTGGGTTTATCAGGAAACATTGCTTTGAAAACCCTAGACTTATCCTCCAAATACTCATCGAACAACGCCTGAAGTTTCCCAAAACGCATCAAACACCCACTGTTTTACAATGATGCATCTATATAAGACACCGAAAATGAGAGTAAGGATGAGACCTGAGGAGACTCGTGTAATTGAACATCGGTAGATATTTTTGATGAATATTTGGAGGGTTTTACGCGTGACAGCTGGCACTTCACTCCACACCGTATTGTTCTCATGTCCACCCCCACCAACCGGCGTCTTACGAGCATCTTCGGGCACGACAAAACCGTTGAGCTTACAGCCATGTTACCACTATTTCTCTCTCTCTCTCTCTCTCTCTCTCTCTCTCTCTCTCTCTCTCTCTCTCTCTATTTAGACCTTCAAGATTGGATGATCTTTGATCTTTCCCACTCTCTCTATATATATCTTCAGAGGAAAGATTGCGTCTTTGCTCTTCTCTTTAATACGCTTTGAGACTTTTGTTGAAAAACAGAGACAGAGAGTAACATTCTCACGGTACACATTTGGAAGATAGTGGATTTCGAGAATTATTTGTTGAAACATTATTTTTCAACTTCTATAGTAACCGGGTACATATTCGGTTTGGTTTAATTGTTTCAGGTTTTGGATTTTTTTTTTCTGGTTTTGTAAGAAATATAAGTCTGAACTAGCACTGAAATTAAGTCAATTTCAATTGGTTTGGTTTGGTTTAGCTAAGAGGTTACCCATTTATTTAGCCGTCTACGTGGTGATAATGTAAACCCTCGTCTGTCACGCAGTTGTTGATGAGATTGACACGAGAACATTGAACGTTGAGAAAAACCTGTACAATAACTTCTACCGCACGCAGAGTTTTGCAAAAAAAAAAAATTACTTGCTTTCGAAACCGACAAACTCAGACCGAAAACTTAAAAACCGGTTTACTTTTAATTATAAGATCTTAACTAACTTCTACTCTATTAAAATAGAGTCATTCTTTTTATCTACTGATACAAGTTGTCATTTAAATTTTGACCATTTCTAGAGTATTACAAATATGTAACACAAGCCATATAATTAATTAAACTGTATCTATTCTATTAAACTAGAGTCATTCTTTTTATCAACTGATACAAGTTATAATTTAAAGTTGGACTATTTCTAGAATGTTAAAAATAATACAAGTTATATAGTTGATTGAACCGCATTACTTAAATTAAACCGGCGGTTATTTACGGAATAGAGTTTTGGGCTTACTTTTGTTTTTATGACATTTAATTGTTTGGTTTTTGGGCTTAGTATTAAAGAAAAACTCCAAAAAACATTAAATAAACTTTTCACCTTAATAGATCAAAAATCAATTACTATTTTCTGGCTCAAAAATATTTAATATTTTCAACAAAACAAAATTATCTATTATTAATCACTTATTTAAATCATGTACTTTAAAACATGTTAATATTTTTTAGCCCAAAAATATTTAATATTTTCAACAAAAAAAATTATCTATTATTAATCACTTATTTAAATTATGTACTTTAAAACATGTTAATATTTTTTATTTAAAATAACAATCACTATATCTTGATAAATTTTAATGGTAACTTTTAAATAATTTATTGTTTTATTTTTCTTAAAAAATTTACATATTTAAAAAAATATAAAGCAAAACCAAAAACCAATCTAAAACCTAAAATCCAAAACCAAAAGCTGAAAACCCAGGTTATATTTTTTGTTCTTTTTTATTTAGAAAATAAACTATTTCAAAATTTTTAGAAAATTATTTTGTCATCTTTTCAGTTTTAAATTACAAGTTCGATTAATTGAGATTTTTTTGTTGGTAATATCCGTTCAAACTAATTCAGCGGGTCTAAAAATTAAAAACCTAAACCAAAAGCTGAAAATCAAAAATAGAAACTTAAAAACTAAAAAACCAAAAACCAAAATTTAAAACAAAATCTAAAAATAAAAACTGAAACTAAAAACTAATGAAAAACAACTATCACCACAAATTTTGGTAAACTAATTTTATACCAAAACATTCTTTAAATTAAGACAAAACTCAATTATATAAATTTTTAATCATAAAAAATTTCCGCGCTTTTCAAGCGCGGGTCAAAATCTAGTTGACTTTTAAATATGAGCAATAAGCAAAGAACTCTTGTTGTATGCACTCTTTAACTTTATAATCTTAATGTTTATACTAGGATACAATATACGCCTTGCGCATGTTAAATGTATGTAATTAAAATATAAAAAATTAATATTGATAAATTTAAATTTACATATGATTGTTTTTATATGTATTTAGAATCTTGGAATTTTTATATTATTTATCTATACATAAAATCATAAATAATTGTAATTAGAACTATAAACCAGAACTTAGAATTTAATGGATCTAGTTCATATATATTTTTATTTTTCAGTGTTCGATTAATGGAAAATAAACTGAGTGTCACAAAACTTAATTATTTTTTTTGACATCTACATAGTGTCACATGACTTAATTGATAGAACATTATCAAGTTCTTTAATAATTTCTTAAGAAACAGTTGGTAGAACTAGGATAAGGCACAAGATAAATTTATATAAAATTATTTTTAAAATATTATATGGAAATAAATCTATATTCTTGATTGAATTAATATTTTGATCTTTAAACAAAATTTTTAATTTTTTCGGTTCATTACATAATTTGTTTACTGATGAGCTGATCTCTTTTTTAAAAATGTTTTAGGTCAAAATATCACCTACCACACAGAGTCTAACGTTTAGGTAAAAGAATCTCGGATTTGTTTGGTTACAATGAAATTATGTCAGCTCGGTTTTAGATCATTATTTAGCAATTTAAAATTTAATTATATGAGAAGTTCACACGTTCACGTGTCAATCCTATATATCTTCAATATTTTTCTCTTTTTGTCTTTTCTCATTTTGATTACTGCTCGATATAAATATTGATTTTGAAGTTTATTCTCATTTCGTTTGTTTGTTTGGACTAAGATTTAGATAATTCTTAAGATTTAAAATAATTAAAGAGCATACTTAGGTTAAGATATGCACTTTTTTGCAGAATACGTATTTTATATTTATTATTTATTTTATGTTTTTCTGCTTATTATGAAATAATAAAATAATAAGTATATATATATTAAATAATTAAGAAATCAATTAGTATTATGTAATAATTGGCGTACGCATATAAGTTTAATGATCACTCTTGTTTATTTGCAATTAGGGTTACTAAATCAAAATAATCAATCTTATCTATCTTCTATGATATATGAATAAATTTAAATGATATTAACATAGATATATAACACACTTTTAATATGTATATTTATTAAAGAGTGAATGTGGTCAATATACGATAATAATGTGGAAATTAGGTAAATGCCTTACCGAATTTTTAATGGGCCCAATGTATACCTTTTCACTCGTGTAATTACAAAATACTCCTTCTCTCTGTTTCAGATACTCATTCTCTTTCTTCTATCTGTCGACTCTCTTTCTTCATATGCACCTCTTTTTAATTCAATTATTTCATCTAATTTTCAATTCTCAAATCTACAAAATTCTATGTTTCAATTCACAAAAATCAACAGTTCTATGTTTTAATTTAAAAATTATTGAAATTGTTAGTGAATAATTTATTGAAGAGAATGAGGAGAGGGAGAAAGAAAAGCAGGAGGATGGGAGAGGAGGGGGACGCGGCCGGAGACGGGGAGGAGGAGGACCAGAACGAGGGAGGGGAAGGGAGGGTGACGTGGAGGAGGGGGAGGGGGAAGGGGAGGAAGAGGAGGAGAAGGAGGAGGTAGGAGGGGGAGGGTAACGTGGAGGAAGGGGAGGGGGACGGGGAGGAAGAGGAGGAGGGGAGGAGGAGATTGGAAGAGGAAGACAAAGGAGGAGGGGAGGAGGAGATTGGAAGAGGAAGACAAAGGAGGAGGGGAGGAGGAGATTGGAAGAGGAAGACGAAGGAAGAGGGGAGAAGGGGTGAGGGAGGACGACGATGAAAAGAAGAGAGGAGAGAGAAAGATTAGGGGTAGTAATGGAATTTTTAAAAAAGAATAATAGCTATGGTATATACCTAATTTTGAGATTATTGGTGTATATGAGATGCAATATCTCTTTATTAAATGAGGTTTCTACTCATATGATTTTATGATTATTTGCATATTTGTATAAAAAAATTTACACCAACGACTTTTTTTAGTGTGAGATGTTTAGTAGTTTCAATAATTTATAATCATTTGAAAAAAAAAATGACATATTTTAAAATTAAAATATTAAATTCTCAATATATATTCAATGAAAATATCAAAATATTAGTATATATATGTATATATATATATATATATATATATATATTTCATATCGTTTAAATTAAATTATACATTGTATGAAAATACATAATAATATATTAACATAGTAAAAATTGTATCTTAATATAGAAAAAAATTAAACTTTGATCATAAAAGCTTATGTGAGACTTTTAGCAGTTTTAGTAATGTATACTCGTTTCAAAAAAATTTGAAATACAACATACACAAAAACATCTAAATTTTTATTAATGATTAATGTAATTGTGTAATTTATTTTAATAATAAATAAATAAAAAATGATAAAAATATACAAATTGTTATCAAGTGTTTATTGTTTAAAATAATTAATTACCATATATGTATTTTAATCACATTAAGTAATCCGTGGGCTTTATTTAAGAAAAGACTACGGAACAATAAATATTTGATATACAGTATGCGACCAACTATAGTCTGTGAAATATTATATTGCTACAGAGTATAATTTTTAGACTATAATTTATATAAGGTGTTCTAAAATCTATTTAATTTGAATTAGAAAGTATAGAGAGCTGGCACGTATGATACATTTATTATTTTTAACTATAACAAACTTAAGGTTACATCTTTTAATGTTTTTCAATTAATATATAGGGGTTATTTGTATTTAGAATATATAAAGTTTCAAAACTAATTTAATATAATTTATTTATTTGTCTAATAATATCTGGGTTTTTTTAAAAAACTATTTTAAATAAAAATAATATTATTTATAAAAAATTAAGTTAAATTTAAATTATAATTATGTTTAAATAAAATTATTTATTCATACAATATTGATATATATATATATATATATTTACATAAACACCTATTAAAATAAAAATTATTTATTCATATGGTTTTATAATTATTGTAACTTATTATAGAAAAAGATTTAGACTTTGATCACAATATTTTATAGGAGATTTTTAACAATTTTAGAAATTTATACTTGTTTTGAAATTTTCAAAATAGAACATATAAAAAATTGAAATTTTTATTATATGATTAGTGTAATTGTGTAGTTTATTTTCATAGTAAAAAATTAAACAAAATGATATAAAGTATACAGATTGTTAATAAATCTTTATAATATAAAATCATTAATAATCATATATATATTAAGTACATTAGGTAATTTCGTAAGTTTTATTTAAAGAAAAATATATAGGAATTTTAGTTTGATATGTTATTTAGTTTGATATACTTTATATAAGACCAACATATCTTGTTTTAAAACTATGCTTTATATAAATTGTTCTAGAATTTTTCAAAATAGAATTTAGAATGAATAGAAAACTGCCACATATGATAATTTTTTTAATTAATACAAACTTAAGATTATAACTTTTTATATGATCCTTATTGAGGATTGGCTAAGTAAATTAAGACAGTCAAAATCGTACATAGTTTATTACGTTGACTGTTGGATTGAGAAACTATACATGGTTGAGCATTGACATTAAAACTAGACTTTAGTAGATAACTTGTGTAATCTTCTCTCATTCTTAAACCTGTTATAATCAGCGAGCAAGCTACCATTAACCTTATGCTTCATATTCTCCACTAAACCGGTCAAAACCTGTAGATGGGTTAAAATCAGATAATGTGCAAAATCATAATTAAGAGTTAAAAGTATGTGTTACCGCATTGGCCAAGTTTCTCCTAACGTCTTCAGGTACTAATTCAAGAACAGGAGGAAGAACAAAGCTTATGTTCATCTCTAGCTGACCTCTGAGCCTTGTGTGCTTTCCTCTCCGGTCTGGGTACAATGCTCCTTTGACTCCCAAACTGAAGTCAGACGGTTCCATCACTCGGTCAAGCCCTTTAAGCTCCCATCTCGTCTGATGCAAAAGTTTTTGAATAATGGAAGATGAAGAAACAAAAGAGAAAGATAATTATTAGTAATTACCATGTTGAGCTCAACAACTTTGGTGATGTCTAAAGGTACGTCTGCCGGGTAATCCTGACCGTTGGATTTGCAACTCAAACGCATATCCACCACAGGCCACACAGTGAGGAAGAGGAAGTTTATTGGTAACATCTGAATCCTCCACTCTTCCTGCACAAAATTCAAATTCAAATTCAACCAAAGTAATCATATGTGTAGCAAAAGATAAAAGTAATGGGGCATTCCGAAAATTGAACTCGGGACCTCTCGCACCCTAAGCGAGAACCATACCACTAGACCAAATGCCCGTTTTGAACTACTTTTAAATATAATTAATCTTAGACATTGTATTAGTGGAAGTACCTCGTTGAGTTTACGGCTTCTGGGTTTATCTGGGAACATTGCTTCGAACACTCTCGACTTATCCTCCAAATAATCATCGAATAACACCTGAAAGTTCCCACAAAATCACAGCTAAAATTGGACCAAACACAGTTTAAACTGATTCGTGTTATAACTTATATATATATAGAGAGAGGGAGGAGACCTGAGGAGACTCGTGGAGAGGAATGTCCGTGGAGAGTCTTGTGGAATACGTAGCGGGTTTTATGGATGACACCTGACACTTCACTCTCCACCGTGTAATTGGTCTCAGCTCCGTCTTCATCGGCTGGTAGGTTCCGAACATAGCCGAAGATAAAATCGCCATTTCACCGAGTTCTCTCTCTCTTTAAGATTAGAACTTCAATATTTTGCACATCTCTCTGTTGAATCCGTGAGTAAAGATTGCGTTTTTGATTGGAGTTTTAGATTTCTACAGGGGTGTGTGTGTGTGTGAAGTTGCTTTTTGGTAGAGATTTTGGAGGGATAAGGAAAATCTGTCTTTCGGCATTCTATGTCGACGTGGCATATCAGGAGACTATCCACGTCATCACAATTTGGAATTTGTAGGGCCCTTTGTGATTTCCAAACTCCTTTCCCCTTCGCATTCCTGGATGGGAATGACACGAGAAACTCAAAAGCAAAATTAAAATAAAATAACTTGAAAGAAACCTCAGTCTAAGCTACATCTGGTTCTGATCTTACACGATCTGTCTTTAGCACTTGTTCCCGTTGATTACTGAGTCTAATTAAAATCACGTTTTGTGCAATCACAGTTCATTCCGATGATTCATTGATTCTCCTCAAGAGTAGAAACATCAACCATGTATAATCTTGACCTACTTCTCTCTTGGATCTTTTCCCCTGTTCTCTCTGTTACGGAAACTGTTAGATGAGGTCAGGAACCTCAAAAGCCTAACCGTTAACACACTTCTGGGCCTTCTTCATTTGCTAACTGGGCCTCCATTTATTGAATTTAAGTTTCAAGTCCCATCGACAATCTGTACGATGTGTAGGATACCCGGTTAGATCAGTCGGCAATCGGTACGATCAGATTGCTCAACCAATAATTAGCAAGCTACGTTGCACAGCTTACACGGATCGTAGTTGTCGCCATGTAAACTGCGGGATAACAGGGCCCACACATTATTAACTAGGAGTGTAGGACCAACAAATCATCACCACCAAAACGCAGCGTTTCCCCTTCGTCTCCGCGTTTAAAACCTTCTCTCCCTTCGTCATTTTTCCTTGTCAGATCCAAGAGAGAAACGAAGTAAAAAAAATCACATTAGATCTCGAAAACGATGCCGTACTACACGAGAGACGAGGATGAGGTCGATGATTTCGACGAGTTCGATCCAACGCCGTACAGTGGCGGTTACGACATCACGGTGATCTACGGGCGTCCGATCCCTCCTTGCGACGACACCTGCTACCCTCTCTCCTCCGCAGCCGATGAAGATTTCGAGTACGAGAGACCTGAATTCACCTCGTACCATGATCCTTCCGCCTACGCCGAAGAAGCTCTCCAGACCGAGTACAGCAGCTACTCCCGCCCCAAGCCCCGACCCGGATTTCGACCCGGTACAGCCGGAGGCGGTCACGTCCAAGGTGAAAGACCCGATCCGGGTTACGGATCCGGATACGGTGGTCAGACGGAGGCTGAGTACGGTAGGAGACCTGAATCGGGGTACGGTGGAGAGACGGAGACGGAGTATGGCCGGAGACCTGAGCAGAGTTACGGATCTGGTGGTTACGGTGGTAGATCGGAGGTTGAATCTGGATATGGAGGGAGATCGGAGAGTGAGACCGGGTACGGATCCGGGTATGAGAAGAAACCGAGCTTTGGTGAGGAGAGGAGTGAGTATGAGCGTAAGCCTAGCTATGGAAGGTCTGAGGAGCAAGAAGAAGGTTACAGGAAGCCTAGCTATGGGAGATCTGAGGAGCAGGTTGAGAGTTACATAAAGCCTAGCTATGGAAGATCTGAGGAAGAGGAGGGAAGTTACAGAAAGCCTAGCTATGGAAGGTCTGAGGAGGAGGAAGGAGGAGGCTACAGGAAGCCTAGCTATGGAAGATCTGAGGAAGAGGAAGAAGGAGGCTATAGGAAGCCTAGCTATGGAAGGTCTGAGGAGCAGGTAGAGAGTTACATAAAGCCAAGCTATGGAAGATCTGAGGAACAGGAGGAAGGGAGTTACAGGCAGCCTAGCTATGGCCGTCGCAATGATGATGATGAAGAGGGCAGGAACCGTTCTGGTGGTGATGAGGAAGGGAGCTATGGCCGCAAGAAATATGTAAGTTCAAGATATTAACATATTCTATCGGGAATTTGCATTTAGATTCTGTGGAAAATAAAGTTTGATTAGTCATTTTGCTATGATTTGTATCTTAGATTGTGTGGAAAATAAGTTTTGACTAGTTAATCATAGAATTCTTTTTGTTGATCATTACATAATAGAAGACTAATCTCAACATTGATATTAAAGATTGTAGTTTAAGTAAATGTCAACAGTTCTCTCTCTTTATTTCACGTCCCGAGTTGGGTTTGCCTTTCTGTTACCCATTCATTGGTTCAGTATTTGGTTTAACCTGGCAATCTTGTAGGGTATCACGATCATAGTACACAAAACATTCCTTTATTTGCATCAACCTTGTTTGAAACATAAGTTTTAGTTTGGTTTAATCCCGTTTTTGATCACAGTGTAGCCGTATAACTCTGTTTTCACATCCTGAAATGGATTTACTTAATTTAAACATGTCCCATTGTTGATCATAGTGTAGAGTAGTCTCCATGTTGAACAAAAGTGTTCGTCTTTGATTCCATATAACTCTGTTTTCACATCCTGATATGGATTAGCGTCAGTTGAAAGCTAAGTTCAGTGTTCGATTGGAAGTAGACATCATGTATGAGATTTTGAACATCTTATTTACAGAATATCTATCTCCATTATAGAGGCAGCATTGACTACACTTCTCCCTTAACTTTATTCATCTCTGTATCAAAATTTGTAGGGTGGCAATGACTCTGATGATGATGATGAGGAGAAGAAACAGCATCGTTACAAGCATCACCACCACCAGAGGCGTCGTGATGAAGACGATGACTAAAACCCTCTCTCAGTGCTGGGAGTCAAGTACTTCTTCTTAGCTTCATCTTACTAAATAAAAAAGCTAAGGCACTTATCTTTGGATTTTGTTTGTTGTGTTTGTTTGACTCTTTCGATACAGCAGAGTCTGTGTCTGATCTGTTGCTGGTTCATAATAAAAGACGACCTTGAATTGATATCGGGTCATCATCATGTAAACTGTTGCTACACTATTTTCGTTTCTGTGTTAAAAAATTTCCTATGATCGTGGCTTATATTGTTTTTTGCTTTATCGATATTATCAAGTCATTGCCGACAAGGAAAAATATTTGTGGTATTATAGCCGAATATTAGACATCTTTTTTCTATTTATAATAATTAAAAATAAACATAATCAGTTTTGGAGTAGGAATGGGTTAATCAGAAACCTATATATATACACATCTCTTTTGTTTCAACATCATAAATTTACAACCAACCAATTTTTAAAAGAAGCAATGTCGAGCGCTACAATTGTCGATGAACCTAACCCTCATAACCTGATATGGTGGTAAGATTCTACTGGATATATTATTATTTAACATAAAGATTTTGATTATAAACATTATACTGAAACGAATTTTCTGGTTGCTTGCAGGACGAACAGGCACTTATGGTACGATGTTGCGATGAACACCATCATTATAATCCTCATCACTGATGCTGTCTTACATATGACTCTAAGAGCCCACAAGATTCCCTTAGATGATAATATTGAGCAATCTGGAGCTGTATATATGCTCGCAGCTGCGTACGGGCTTGTCACCTATATTAATTTTGCGAGTTGGATGACTAAGGATGAAGAGTGGTTACTAGCAATTTACATCATGGGACGCATCGGTCATACATTAGGCTTCTGTATTTTCCTCTGCCTCCTCTATTCTATTTCTCACTTGGCTATGTACATTGCTCTACTTTGTTTCCTATGGTTGGTACCAGCCATGTTTGCACCGTGTTGTCCATGTCTATGGAGAGGAGAGCCAGCTTGGTGGAACTTTGTGCAGAAACCACAATCCACAGTAGCTATTGTTTAACTTTTAAGATTACACAATTTTTGATCTTTCAATTTTGGACTATTATTATTAATAGAAAATTTTAATTGCTAATCTTGTGTTTTAATTTGCTTATCACGTGAATCTCTCGTCAATTGTTCTTAACTTTCTCTCTTGCGATCGGTGAATTTTGCTTCTACTGTCCACCCATAAACCTCGTGTTGACATGTGTTTCGCGATCTAACAAGATGTTATTAGGGTTTACGGATTGTTTTAGACATCAATCATCAATCCTCTTTTGATGCCGCTGAAGAAAATTAGAGTTCCTAGTCTTGATTTGTTCCTGCTTACTGTAATTTGTGGTTAGTGATAATTTTATCTTTTGGTTCATCATCATCGTCTGTCGCATGCAGAGTATCAATCTACTAGGAAAAATGAGGGAGGTCCAAGAAAAGCTCATCTGCTGTTGCCCTTGATGCGATGGAGGGTATATTCATATCAACTCATTCTCCTCATAGCTCCCTTCCTCTTAGAATCGTAGACTAACAATGGACGGGTTAGAGATATCTGTAGTTTGTTCTTTAGATTTGTTTTATGAGTTACTACATGTCTGCTTCCCTTTGGTTTTACTGGCTTGTCATTACTAGTTGTAGATCATCACTGATTTGCAGAACAAAAGATGCAGAAGCTGTCTCAAATAAGGACATTAGTCCATTAAGTCCAACCTCCTTGTCAAATTAAGAGAGTTCAAGTCTGATCTCAACAATTTCAAAAGCGAGGTCAAGACACATCTTCAAAGACGGTATGTAAAGAGAACTCAGTAGTATCTGCTCAATATCATCTCTATCTTCGCTACTAAAACATCTTTTGGTTGATTATGACGTCTGAGGACAGGCTCCAGCTGATCTGAGGAGCAGGTTGAGAGCTATGGAAGATCTGAGGAAGTTACAAAAAGCCTAGCTATGGAACGTCTGAGGAGGAGAAAGAAGGAGGCTATACGAAGCATAGCTATGGAAGATCTGAGGAAGAGGAGGAAGGGAATTACAGGAGCCTAGTTATGGAAGGTCTGAGGAACAGGAGGAAGGGAGTTACAAGAAGCCTAGCTATGGCCGTCGCTATGATGATGATGATGATGATGATGATGATGATGATGATGAGGAGCGCAGGAACCGTTCTGGTTATGATGAGGAAGGGAGCTATGGCCGCAAGACATATGTAAGTTCGGGAAGTTAATATAAAGTTATTGTCAATTTGCATCTAGATTGTGTGGAAAAAAAGTTTGATTGGTTTATTCATAAAACCTGTTTTTGCTGATGATAACATAGTATGGTCTCAACATTGAAACTAAAGATAATACTTTTAGTGAATTAACATCCATTACGTGTCAACAGTTCTCTCTTTGTTTCACATGCCGAGTTGGGTTTGCTTGAATACAAAATCTGGTTCTGTTACCCCTTAACTTCATTGGTTCAGTATTTGATTTAACATGGACATCTTGTTGGGTATCACGATCATAGTACACAACTTAACATTTATTTGCATCTAGGTTGTCTGATAAATAAGTTTTGGTTTGGTTTAATCCCCTTGTTGATCACAGTGTGTCACTCTGTTTTCACATCCTGAAATGAATTTACTTAATTTGAAAGCTATGTTCTACAATCCCATAATAACGTTCCTGGTTCAGTGTTTGTTTGAATTTGGACATCTTGTTCGACTTTTGAAGATGTCCCATTGTTGATCATAGTGTAGAGTACTCTCCATGTTGAACTAAAGTCTTATGTCTTTTGATTTATGAACTAGCTATTGTTGGGGTCAAAATCGGTCACAATGGAATCAATTACCAAAAGTTTCCAAAGAAAATGTCAAAATCCATACGAAAAAACACTTTTTATGGAGATGCGAAATTACAAAAAACTCGTATCGAAATATGAAACAGTTAAAAAGACCTCGTACAATTTAAAAAGAGAAGAAGTACACATTAAAAGGATCATCCAATCCTCGAACAAGTGCTTCCGAATCAAAGATCAAACAATCGAAACACGGATAATCATAATGAGAAGTTTGATACGCAATGTCCAACTCGCCACCGGGCGAGTTAGACGGTGTGGTCCAACTTCCAAGGGGAGCCAAGGCAAGGAGCACAAAAATTCCTTTTAGACATTTAGAATTCTCTGCATTAGAAACCTTAGGCTTTATTCTTGACAAATTTGGTTTCTACGCCTGCCACTCAATTACTAGACGAACTCGCCCAGGCAGTTCGTTCTCTCGTCCAGATCCTTTAATTGAGCTACGTTCGTCTTGATTCTCGAAAGGGGTACATAGGTAGTCTTTCATAAGGTTCAGCCCGAAATTAATCAAAACATTTTTCGTATGTTTTTGTTTTTTTTTTGTTATCGAGCTGCGACTCAACTAGGTTTAAGCTTTAGGTTGCTAAAATTAGGTAACTCTATAACAACTCGTGCGGCCGAAGCATTTATATCTTTTGTAATGATCGCAACGCTCTTACGCATATTCGAAATAAGATCTACTATTTTCTATAAATTCGTTTTGTTATCTTTTAATATTTTCCGCATCTATCTGGTCACTTGTCGTTGATTCTCACAGAGATCCGTGGCCTCTGGAAAATTAGAGTTTTTCTAACTTTCTTAACTTATACGAAAATCGACGATGTGAATTTTGGTTCCTAGAGTTTGGCGCTAAAAGGAGAAGGGGGGGGGGTATGGATTACTCATGGCCACAAAACGTTTGATTGAAACGATGTCTGGATATATGAAAGACAATGTCGCAGCTCGCAAAAACGCTGGTAAAACAACTCCAGCATCGAGTACTCCTAGAGCCAACGCTTACGCAAATGCTGTAGTGCTTGACAAAACCGAAAACCTAGTCGCGAATTTCGCCACAGGAAGAGCACCAAAACAAACTCATTATTTCTCTATCTAAATAGAAAGGGTAAGGATAAAATCTATCAAACCCTGTAAAGTTCTTCTCATTATCGAGTTGGAGAAATCTTAGTGCGTAAGGGTTTGACCAAAAAACGTTTTCCAAATTTTTTTTGGAAAAATAAAATTTGCTCTCTCCAAAACTACGGAAAAAACCCTAGGTTACTCACGGAGAAAGAAGCATATCAAATCGGGTTCTCAACTCACTGTGTCGTACTTCTTCCAGATAACTTCCGTAAAAGTCTTCGTAGAAATAAAACTCGACTTTTCGAAGTCACGGAGAAAATTTAGATTACTCACGGAAATAGAAGAATGGCAAATCTGGTAGACAATCTCCTACGGCTGTACTTCATGTGAATAAATTTCTGAAAAACAAATTTGATTGCTGTAAAATCACGCGAAACCTAAAAACGGTTGACGAAGACTAAACAAAACAAAAAGGGAGATCGTGTCCCTCACTGCCAATGTTTTCAAGGCCGATCCGGGGCCGCGGTTGGACCGCCAAACCCTGTGATCCGGTAGGTAATCTAGTTTGGGTTTTACCAAATATCTGTTATTTAAAAACTCGCTAAAACCCGCTAAAAACCTGTAAACCTGGTAACCCGGCAACCGGTTGAATTACTGGTTGAACCAACAAATGAGTTTTATTTTTTTTCTTCAAATTTTAAGTTAGAATCTGTTTTTTATTCCTAATAAAAATTAGGTTATCACTTTTAGATTAGTTTTCTCTTAACTTACAGTTCTCCTACTGCCGACTCTGTAATTTCTTGAACATTCTTTTTTTTTTTGATTATTATGTTCATTGTTAATCTCACTCACAATCACAACCTTTGTAGTTTGTAGTGGATCAATAAATTTGAAGCATGTCCTATCATTTTGTGAATGACGATGTTTTGTCATTAATCAATTATGTCGCATGAAATTTTTATAACTTCGTCCTTTATCACTTTTACAGGCAATGGAAACTGAACCAGAGGAAAACTATCACTACAAGAAAACTCGTCCATTACTAGGGCATGTTTTCCTCGTTAGTTCCTAGTAAATGGCCTTTTACTAGGAACTTACGAGGAAACGCGTTTCGTCGAAACACGTTCATCGTAAAGCCTTTTTCCTCGTAAAGTCGTAGTAACCACTTTCCTCGTAATTTCTTAGTAACCATTTTCCTCGTAATTGCCTAGTAACCACTTTCCTCGTAATTTCCTAGTAACCACTTTCCTCGTAATTTCCTAGTAATGCTTTACTAGGAATTTACTTCGAAATGTTTTTCCACTTTCCTCGTAATTTCCTAGTAATGCTTTACTAGGAATTTACTTTGAAATATTTTTCCCTATTAAAAAAAATAATTAAAATAAATATAAATAATATATTTAAA